GGGCCGGTCGCGGGGGGGCCCCCACGGGAGACGCCGCCGCCGGGGGGGGGCTGGTGGCCGAGTCCCGGGGCGAGGGGCCAGGCTTTGCCAGGTGGGTTCGCTTGGGGCGGCAGGATCAGTGATGGCCAAGTGGGATTGCGGCGGTGAGTTCGGCTGCTGAGCTTGCGTGGAAATACAGTTTAATTAATAGTTAATTTGTGGTGTTGATTTTAATAATTTGAGTATCTTGAATTATTTGCAGCATTTTGCCAGATGCCTGCAGTAGGCTCTTCTCAGTGAACACAATAATTATTAGTAAATAATTTAGCATTTTCTCTGTACTTTGCTGTCGGGTGAGGAGGCGGTTTTAAACTCTTCTGACGAGCAAGAAAAGAAATTGCACTTACCCTAACGGCACACATTTTTGCATGTGTTCTTCTTTAAAAATAGTAGGAAAATGTATGTGAAAGCCTTGTTTTACCTTCTTCATGTAGCAAGATGTAGGTGATGTCTCACTTCTATCGCTAAATATAGTTTAAACGCCATAATTCTCTGAAATAAAGGTATAGAAGAGAGGATGAGAGAGTTCTAAAAACAGCTTCTAAAAATCCCCAGTCACTCAGTGAATTGTATCCATCTTACCCATTAACTCATATATTCAGTGACATTCTTTGAACATGGACTCGGAATGAACAATTGCATGGCCATTAACCATGCTAAAATACTACAGAACAGCCCTAATTCCTTTTCTTCTAGGTTAAATTTCCATATTGTATTTCAGTCGCCTGGCTGTGACCAAATGCCCATTGTATTTTACTGTACTGGGTGATAAATTCTGTGAATTTAGTGAAGTTGTACTTTCATTATATTTGTCCCATATACATACAGACAGCACAGGTACCTCGTTAAGTACAAACAGAACATTACCCACAAATTGGAGTTCACGTCCCGGCTGCACTGCAGCACGATGCTCAGAGCAATGCCTAGCAGTCACTTAACAACATTTCTGGAAATTTTGTAATAAAGTGTGAAAAAAAGCATATATAAACAACAAAAGGACAAAAAATGACAGCAGCATGCAGCTATGCGTGTTTGGTTTACATCACGTTGATGGCATACAGATTAGGACTGGTTGTCAATCCTTTTAATACCTGTTTCAGTGAGCTGTCATTACAATGGATTTCTAAACCAGCCACCTCCATAAAGGCACATCCTAATAGACAACTGTATTTTACACCAAAGAAGGGGCGACTGATGAAGGAATTTCTGTGTATTGTTTGGACACTGTCATGTTCTTTGTCCTCCTCACTTCAGATTAAATGAAAATAAAGGTGATTACTTGCAAATAAATGCCGAATGAAGTTTGAATATTACTGTGAGGCAAAGTGACCTACCTGATGATCTGTCCTGTGCAGGAGTGATCAACTGAGATAGCATCAGCCATTCCAGAAAGGAAAGCAAAGAGCATGTCTGGGGGGGAATGGCCGGTCCTGCTTTTCAAAGTGGTGGCCAAGGATAAACTACAACGGATCCAGCAGTTCAGCCTCAGCTCTGTTTGAAATACACACAGCCAGGAGTTACATTTAGTGAAAATTGTTGTTTCATTTAAAAATAAGGAAAAAAAGAAACAAACCCACAAGGTGGAAGGAGTAGATGGCTTATTTAACCGATATTGGAGGCGAACTGGTACCCTTGAAAAGGGCAAAACCCCTTTGAAAGCCAAAGCACTTACATCATGAAAATGAAGAGTCACAGACAGAGCAAGATTAACTCTGTCCATGCAGCAGATGCATTACTTTGCTATCCACAAAAATATTGCTGTGTACCAGAAGGTATTGCTGCTACCCTTGATTCAGATCAAGGTCTAAATCCTGAAATTGTTTGTTACTCTAAGCACATGAAGAGGCCCCACAGGAACTATTCACATGTGAAAAGAGCTAGGACCAGAGCCAAAGTTTTGCATACTGTGAAGGTCAAGCTTGCTTCCTTTCTAAAACTTGCACTTAACAGAAAAACTCTCAGAAATATAGTTTCCACATAGCACCTTCAGCTGATTCTTCAGGATGCTGTATGCACTGTGCCTGATTTGGAGCAATTTGTGTACTAGCAGGTCCCTGTGACTTTGGTGCTGGTTGCCTTGCAGGCAAGCTGCTGCCTTGCAGAGCAGGGGCTGCCCCTGCCTTGCCTTGATTGCAATTTTTGTGGTTTCTCTTCGCACAGACGCTGATTTTTTTTATAAACTTCTTAAAAGTAGGAAAAAAAGTCTCATAGGTATTATACGACTACTGGCTTTACAGTCGTCATGGAATAACCTGTTAATAAAAATGCACTGCCTGTAGGACGAATTCTCAGCATTTTTGCAAAGGTCACATAAAATATATTGCTTGAGTAGCCTTACTTTGGTCACCCAGATAAGTCATGGAGAGGCCACTGTAGATGACAGTCTCGAAGAAAGATTGTAATTCACTTTTATGACTCTATGCAAGAAAGGGAGAGCCACGAGCCTTCCCTTCACTGCTGGGAATGGGGTATGTGCGGCTGCTGGTGCAGGGAACAAAAAGGAGCTGCTCTCACCAGACTGACAGATAAAGTTGGAGGTCTTTCTCTGCTGAAGGCCTCACATAATTCTGCTTTGTTTCTTTTCTCCTGTCAGAGCAACAGAAAAACTCAGAAAACAAATTGCAACTACACTGTACCACATTTTTTACTAGGATTTTGCCTCAATCCCAAATAAGACTTTTATTCTCCATATACTTACATGAACAGTAGTTTCTCTCCATTCCTTTTTCCTCATCCTCATTTACTGGAAATGTAATATAAATCCCACTTGGGATTTTTGAGCACTAGCACTGTTTTTACTCCTGCTTCTCAATAATGGAAATTCCCAAGTTTTACCTTTTCTAGGAGCAATGGTCGTACTGTGCTTCATACATGCCAATTGATACTCTGGACTTCATAATACAAACAAAGGGTCTCTTCAAGCTCCACCTTTTGCCACGGTCTGTAATTTGCAATGGCTGATCAGTTTTTCTAAATTATTTGTAGATTTTTTTTTTTTTTTTTTTTTTTTTTTTTCCAAGAACCTGGCATAACTTCAGGTCAATTCACTTTAGGTCAGATACAGTATTAATTAAAAATGGCAGACATATAAAAACCCCTACAAATCTAGATGAACAATAGTCACATGAATATATGGTGCCTTTTCCTTTCGTTCCAAGATCGGAGACTTTATACATCTATACATCATATGTAGGAAGTTTAGACTGCATTATTTTTAAAAGGGTCGCTATTTCTAAGCACGTATGTTTCTGAGGGAGAGCCAAGCACCAGTGGTGTTTATCGTCTTACAGGGCTATTGCCAGAATGATTAAAATATGGAGCTCTGGAAGTCCGGTACCTAACAGCAGGAGGTAGCACATACTAATTTTATTATCATCTCTGCTGTCAAGTGACAATGTTTTTTAAATGTCATGAATTATGTATAAAATACATTAATTTTTATACTGCACATTTTGAGAGTTCACGCACACATACTGAAAGAGCATGGCTTTGGCACAGGTGCACACGACAAGGTGTTAGAGAGACTCAAAATGGAACTTAGAGCATAAGCAGGAATTTGTGGACCCAGTTCCCTGCTTGATTGCATGATTCAGGAGCTGTGGTATCCATGACAGTACAGGTGAGATCTTAAGACGACTTAAATAAGATAAAAACCTGACCAAGTCTTTAACCTAGGAATTAATGAAATACCTTTTGTATAATAAATATTTGTCATCTGTCCTTGATAACAGGAAATTACTTGAGTAATAAAATTCTGCAGAAACTGTTCATTTAAATTAATTTTGTAAAGTTAACAAGTGTTACACTGTGCTGTTCTTTGCATCTTTAAGAGTGTTTGGGGATTTATGTCTTGCAAAATAGAAACAAACTAAGAAAGCTGAAATATATTGTGTCTTTTGCTGTACTTTACAGCACAGCTTGTGTTTAAGAAGCAGTCTAGACATGCAAAAATGCTAGAATAAACAATATTTTTTTCATTATTTTAAATAAGCTTGTAAAGGAAAGCTATAAATTTCAGAATGATGCACACTAACAGGATTGCATATCTATTCAAATATTCAAAACCAAAGATACTAAAAGGGTATTCTGTTACCTGCCATTATAAATATAAATTCCTTTCCGAGTTAATGAAATTACAAGTGATTTCCTATAGAAGGAAAAAAAAAATTATTTCCATAAACCTTCAGAATCTTTACAGGATGTTTTACTTAGTAGTATAAAAATCTCATCCTTTTTTATTTTTTCCTCCTCCTTATATTAGTGGTTTGTTTAACCCATTTTAACTTTTAAACATTATTAAATACTATTTAATATTCATTATAGGGCTTCAAATATTGGTTGGTCTTGAATAAATATTTTTCCTTTATTCTCCTTTCAGCTGAATTTTGTGTGCAATTAAAGAATAATCAGCTGGAGTGATGACTGAGCTTTTCAATTTATGATCACAAGTATAGAAATGAGCTGTTTATTCTGGAGAACAGTGATGGAAGGGGTCACGCCAAGGTAAGCGATTTTTCTCCCTGTGGCTAGGTAGGGTGATAATAAAGCGGGTAGATACCTACCCTGACAACTCTTCCTCTGACTTATGGACAGAGAAACAATTCTATGACTCAATAACTACACATCAAGAGACACGGTTTTAAGGATGCTACTGAGACACACTGCACATAAACTGAAGATTTCAGATGAACTTCTGAGAAAGTATCCTTGATTGCAGCCGTGTATCGTATCAATTATAAAACATCAGTTGATTATCCTGAGGTGGTAACAAAGATGCTGAAGAAAAGCCCCTCCACCATCACGGGAGTTTTGTAAGATTGTAAATCAATAGTCTTGAAAAGTATTTCAAACAGAAAACTGGCCATTCTTGTCTGACAAGACCATGGGGTAGTGCAGTTCCTTCCT